CTTTCTTCTTGTCCTACTATCATGTTCAGCCTTCATTTGGGTTTCAGTAATTCCTCTCGGCTACATTGCCCTTGATCAAGCCCCACCAGGTATCCTATGCCCTTCTCGCCCTCAATTTTAGATCATTTGTTATTCTCTTGTCCTTGAGTTTGTTGGCATCCTCTTCTTTTCCCCCATCTCCCCCTCTCCTGTGTCCTCCCCCTGCATTTGACATTATTGCATGGCTGTGTGAGTCTAAAGAGGAATTTATGGACTAGTAGTGGACATATGGGCTAATATTGGACTTATGAACTTGATCTGGACTTGGCTGAGATGTTTTCTTAATGTACATTTACTCTTTATGTAAAGCTCTTTCCTATACACATAATGAGTGTCTATAAATTTGTTTCTCTAGTCTACCCCCTGGATTAACACAAGCTCCTTTTTAGTTATATTTTGAGAGCCTCTCTACTCCAAGGGACCATCCTCTGCCACGATCCCTGCGGGTTTTCTGCTTCTGTTTATTAGGCCTTCAGAATCTGGCAGTGTTTAGAAGGTATGCATACGAATACGATTTTCATTGGCTAATTCCTCAGAAGTGGACAGCTGTGCCTTCTTCATCGTCTGTTCTTAGTTTGGAAGCTCTGCTGAAACATGTTCACTTTGGGTGACCCTGCTGGCATTTGAAATGCCAGTGACATCGCTTCCAGCATCACAGCAACACACAAGCCACCAGAGAACAACAAACCAACAGGCAAACTCTCAGAGTTTAGGAGGCAAGATGTCTGAATCAGGGCTCTGGCTATAGAGGAAGGCTTTCTCTGTCTGCTCTTGGGCAAGTGCTTTGTCTTCAGTTTCTTGGACATCATTATTTGACTGGCATCTACCCTCCCCCGTGTATGCTTTTACTTCATCTTCTCTTTTTATATTTTGTGAGAGCCGGATCTAAACCCTGGTCCTTTACCAACTTAACAAAAGCAACCGATTCCAAAATGTGATTATAACCATAGACATAGAGGTTAAGATTCATAATATATGTCTTGTATTATTATGTTTCTATCCACAAGAATTCACTCTATGAAATTTAAATTTATAGGATAGATAAGCAAAGACATTTATCTATTTTTTCCTGTAATTTTAATGACCTTTTGTTTGCTTCATTTTAGTCATAAAGCATACTAAAGATAAATTCAGATCTAGACACCAGGAAAAACATATTAAGCATTACCAGATGTCTTTTTCCCCTCTTATCTCTGAAATCATAGTGCATCTTTGATTGATGCTAGCCTGTAATCATTGTTAGTCCGGTGTCATTTGTGTTTAATTGTCACTGCTTATTTAAATTTGGTTATTATTTCTGGTGGCATGATTGGATAACAGCAACTCTTTGATGTTTTAATTAACAGAAGATTTAAAAACCATTTTAGGAAGGAGTAAGAGTTATGATTATTGCCTGAATACATTTTATGACATTGTGTGATTAGATCAAGTTAGAGTATGCATTAGTGCTTAAAATAAATTCAGGAGATAGTAGTAGAGCTGTATATTAAAAACATGGT